GAAAACAGGGAGGTTGCCTCACCAAAGTGTTCTTCTTTTATTCTTTAGTGGTAAACACAAAGGTCTAGGAAAACATTGGTTTGATATGTATCATCTAAAGAAGTCACATTTTCTTTGAGAAACTTTGGAGGCTAAATTAAAGGTGTAAGTTATTGCTCAGCAGTGAATGATAACAAGAGTTTTTCTATCTGCACTTTCAAAAAAGCCATTAGATCTTTTGCTCCCGGTGCTTCTTCCTCACATAGCACTCCAACAATCTGATGGCTTAACATACACTTTTTATTAAATCTGTATGGTGCCATGCTTTAAAAAAAAAAAACAAAACAAAACCCCCAAAAAAACCCAAACAAAAAAACCAACAACAACAACAAAAAAAACCCAGCACAACAAGTAGAAGGCCATATCCTGCTGCTTACTACTCTGCAGTAAGTCCAATTATGCTCTCCTGAAAATAAATGAAATTATTCTGGGTTTACACTGGAGAAAATATGAAGAGAATCTGTCTCAGCATCTCTTCAGATCTGCCAGGTTAGTTGAAACACCATCTCTGTCCTTTGGAGATTTTTAAGAGCGATGAATATGTATCAGTTACTGACTTTCTGGGCGTTCGAAGGGCTGGTGTAGTGGAGGGGGGCTGCAAAGGGGGTCACCTCAGCACCTGAAGGTCCTCTGAGCACAAGCTGCTCACTGCTGGCACATCCCCTGGTGCAGTGCTGCACTGTGGCTGCTCTCCAGCCAGATGTAGCCGTGCTGTATCCTTGGGTCATGGAGCACCTGAGAGACCATTGGCTGCATGCTGCAAAATACCAGCCTTGCTCTGGGAGAGCACCAGGCAAGCGGCACTTCTGGGGCACGCATGCTTGTAGCAGGTACCGGAGAAAGGGTTGCTCACTATTCAGTAGGAAGAGAGACTGGTTGATTGAAAAGGAGCCTGCTAAGACCTGGTGAAGAAAATGATCTGAAGTGTGTCCCAGTTAGGGCAAGTAAGGGCAAAAAAAGCCCCAAACTGCAACTAATCACACCACATTCCTGGGTTCTTTGGAAAAAAAAAAAAAAAAGATAAAAGAAACAAAGGATAAGATGAACCCACCTTCAAGGCGATTATAAAAGAACAAGGACTAACAAGGCCCTGAGCTCTGCACAAGGAAACACTGCAGTGGCTTGTTACTACACAGACAACACCGATGCTTCCAGAGCCTTAAAAATATGGACAACTGGTTGTTTGTGTAAAGGGGGGGCTGAAGCTCTCACGATCCCTTGTGCTGTCCTTGCCCCCAGAGCTGAGACTAAAGAGGGCACGTGCCCACATGTAGCAGGTAGAGTGGCCTTGCTCCCTTAGAGTTCCTGTTCTCACGAACTCAGCCTTTTCTCCCCTCCCTTGAGTGAATGAAGTTGAATAAAAAAAATCAGAGAAAAAGCCAGCTTGAAAACTTTGAGTTTAATTTGGCTTTAGTTCAAAACCAGAAGGGGATGAATAATGTTTTGTTTAGTAGAGACAGGCTTTCTTTTTTAATTGTTTTTTGACTTCTTCACAGAAGACTAATGGATCTTATTGAACCAGTCTTATGGCTGATCAAACACTTTGAAAATATGTATGGAATTTCTTATACTAGCTAAAAACATCAATTTTTTTGTTCAAAAATTTTAAGTCTTACTGCAGAAGCATCTTTCACTGACTGGACTACATTTCTTCACAAGGGGAAAGTTACACCTCAAACATCTACCCAAGCCCAGTTACAGATTTTCCTCCCATCAGCCCAGGTTCCGTATAAGTGCTGCAAACCTGATTAAACAGTGCAGAATTAGGACCTTCTAAACAAAGAGAGTGCTGAATTTCAAAGAGTTTTTTCATGACTCTGCATATTTGCATAGTGATAGACAATGGAAAGGTGGATCTCTCCTACAACAATGGAGAGCAAAACAGAGAAGCAAACAAAAAGCAAACAAACCCTTCATTCAGATCAACCTTCCAGGAAACCAAGATGATTCCCATCATTTTTATGACTTTTCCCTAGAGGCAAAAGACATCTCATTAGCAAATCCCACTACAAGTTTGCTCCAATTTGACAAAAAGTGAATGTGACAAGCAGAGAAATTATAAGCCTTATATTTCCAGTTAGCCAGCTTGGGCTGATAAAGCCAAATTCAAATGTTTTTTTGGGATTTTAAAGCTTGGGGAGTAAAAATCCAGAGGGTGAGCTGGTTCAGCTAAAAATGTGAATTTATAGTGTTCCAGTCAGTGTTATCTGATGGCAATGTCACAGCAGCCCTTCATGAATGTGCACTCAACATTTCCAGCTACAAAACATGCCAGCCAGTTCTGAGATGGCCCTTATAGTCCACAATTATAATGATCTGCGGAGGAGCTGAATGATACCAAGCAGAAGCAAACCTTGATTCCCCACTAAGAAATAGGGCATGAGTAAAATAAATATTAATCATGAAGTTAATTAGTAAATGCTGGTAATTAATCATGCATCACTGTTAATGATGTGTAGGCATCCACAGAGGTGGGAGATAATACTCCAGGAAAGAAGACTGCAGTGTAAATGAGGTGATGTCCCCATTGTTAAAATCAGCGGGAGTTGCTTTGACCTTTGTTGTCTTTATTGGAAAATAATACTAGCGGTGTCTCTCCCCACTCTGATTTAATATTCAGACTGGACTTAAGGGGCAAGCAGGTCTTAACCAAGGGGTTGGTGGGCTCTTGCAGCTGTGCAGTCAGGCACTAAAGGAGTCTACAGATTCCTTTAATAAATAAAGCCAGGTGAACAGTTATGTTTAAACCTTTCCAAAGCTCTGCAATTCATGGACCAGTTGTATTTCTAAGTATTGTTCCAGAAGCTAGACAATACTCTACTGACAGAAACCTACCTGATGATCTGATCTTCTAGTGGAAGGTGTCCCTGCCCATGACAGGGGGGGGGGAACTAGATGGTCTTTATGGTCCCTTCCAACCCAAACCATTCTATGGTTCTATGATAACTTCAACAGAACTTTGGAACAACTGCTAAGGATCTCCCGAAAAAATGTTTTCTCTCTAGAGCATAGAAAAAAACCCACTCTTGTTGAAAAAGCCCTGCAAGCTGTGTCTACAAAGCTGATAAGCTTAGCTGTGCTGTGGGTCAGGTAGCCACGTCCTGCAGACATAACTGTGGAAAGTGGTCAGACGACAAGAAACTTTTGGAAAGCTACTTGCAAAAGTCTGTGATGATAGGCAAAACTCATTCCTTGGTGTAATATCTAAAGTTTGGCGCTCAGCAAAGTTAATTTGGGGCAAGTTTCCTAAGCCAAAAGATCTCGTGGCTGCACAGGTGAGAGATCCCACTACACTCGTGATAAATCTTTCAAGTACTACTACGGACAAGTTGTCAAGTGCCATCTCGTTGGCTTGCCTCCCTGAGCAGCAGCCCAAGAGGACACAGATCAAGGAGTTAACGTTGACTCAGAGTTGCTCTCAGTGTTTTTATTCCTTTCCAGAATGTGACCTTGCATATTTTTTTCAGAAAAATAGTAGTGTTTGCAAAAGTCCTGCCTGTCTCTTCTGTGCTGACAGATTGCTGGAAACTTCATCATGGATGAATGAAGGAACTGTTAAAATTCATCTGTTTGCCAGTCTATTAAGAGAATGGGGAAGTGTGCCTAAGAGGTGAGCACACAGTGGCCCAAGAAGCAGAGGAACAGCCAGCAGAGACCTCCCATAAAACAGCAAAGCTGTGTTTGCTTCCTGCCAACGCTTGTTCTCCAGCATCTTCCAACAAAGCAATGTCTCCCCACCCAAAGCTGCCCATAGGTTTCACTCCTGCTAAGAGATTTTCTGTTGGAAAAAGTCATGGGTAGTTGTTCAGGGAATGTAAAAGAATTAAAAGGATAAATGTGACCAGGCATGCAACTATGTTGGTTTTTTTCTTTTTTTTCCAAAACATCAGGCTGTTCACTCAAAGAGTTTGGCAAAGAAACTCAATTTCTGGATGACTGGTTCACAATGCTGCTTCTTGGGACTTTGTGGAAGACTTAGGCTTCCACTTTTCAGTTTTTTATACCTCTCTTTCACATGCACAAATGATGATCACACCCGTACTGCCATTCCCCGCCTTCAAATGTGTTGATCCCACGTCCCACCGAAATTACAGAGTGGCTTAAATGTCCCAAGGTCAAATATGTTTTACTTCTTTGCACCCAGTTTCCAGTTTCTGGGCCACAGTGAGGCTGCATATTCAAACTTCGATCAGCAGGTCTGAAACTTGGGATCCTGGTGTATAGTGACTTGGTATAACATAACAGCTATTACAATGGATTTTGTCAGAGCACTTTCTCATGATAACGCCATGGAGCTGGCCATGTGGTATATAATTGTAGACATATCTGTGGCAACCTTCACCTTCATATCTAAGCATGTATTTTATCCACAGAATATTCCCAGAAGTGTGATGGGTGTTTATAAAGCTCACAGATAAGTCTTAGTTTTTCTTTGCCAAACAGATAACAAGTGTGCAAACAGTATTTTTTGCCATGTCAGTCGAAAGATATCTAAACCGAGAATATCCTAACCCTGCCTCCCTGAGGAAAATGATGGCATAAAAATTAACGTAAAATACCTTATCTAAGATAACATAGGAATTCATTAAAACTTTGCCATTTGAAAGAGCCTAATTTATTGTAAGCTAGAAAACTTAGAAAGGGGTCCAAAATAAGCTTGCATCTGCCCTACTATCTCACCTTTCTGAGAAGTATCTACATAATATATAGCAGTGACATATTCACTCCATTGCATTAAGAAAAACAAGTGTTACAAACATGTCTTGCTTGAAATTCTTGTAAATGTGCATCCATGATACATGTGAGTAGGTACTAAACATGCCATCACCCACTCTGGGGAAGTACGTGCTGCAATGGTCATTATCTGCCACCAATACACATCTCCTGGAGGCCAGGATGGAAATGCCTTTACTACTCAGACCAGGATGGTTCTGTAACAAATAAGGAGGAATTTGCCTTACCTGTCTATGCTGCTGAGAGACTGGATACTGCAGTCCTGAGATTTGCTGGCTTTGCTGCATTTTCTGAAGCATCATTTTTTGCTGCATTGCTAGGGGTACATTAGGTGGCCTTTGAAGAGACTGGTTCGGGAGAGGCTGAGCAGGTTGCGGCTGTGGCTGTTGTTGCTGCTGTTGCTGTGGCTGTTGCACGGGGGCTGAACCCTGTGCCTGCTGCGTGTAGTGCAGAAGGGCAGGCTTGTTTTGGGAACCCAAAACTGAAGGCATCTGCTGGTTTGTTTGCTCTGAGTTAAAGTGAAACAAAGGCTTTGTGTTGCCATGATGCTGCTCTAGTGGTGGCTGAGCGCTGTTGATAAAGTTCCTGTTGAGGTCCTGAGGCTTCTGTTGCATGATTATGTCCATGGAAGTGCTCTGGGGAGTGGTCGGTTTATAAACATAGTTGTTCATCCCTTTTGACTGGTTTCCATTCACTGGTACCCCGAGCATTGCTGAGCTTTGTGGGCTGAACTGCTGCTGGCGAAAAGAAGGACTGGGGATTTTTTCTTGCACGAAGGGTCCAGGGGAAGGTCCTGATGGAGACAGAGTGGACCAGTTGGCTGTCTGGTTCTGCTGCTGCTGTTGCTGCTGAATCAAGGCATGCTGCTGCCGGTTGGCTGCGATCTGTTTGAGTTGCTGTGCATGAGACACCTCCTGCCAATTAGGCAATGGCCGACTGGACGCAGAAGACACCTGCGATACCTGTGTTTGACTCTGAGGCACCGAAGGGATTGGTGAAGAGGTGGACATGGCAGTGGTGGCCATAGTGAAGGCTGGACCTGTAGAAGAAGGCCTCATCTGTGGGGAGCCCACAGGAGCCTGGTTCATGCCCGGTGCGTATTCACTTTTTATCACCATCTTGTCCATCTGCAGAGATCTCACAGGGCCCCTCTGGCTCTGCTGCCCAAGGTCAATGTTGAATGGCTCATCCTGTTTTATCGTGGCATTTATCATATTCTCTAGCTCAAGATCACTCATTGGTGGCACTGATATGTTAGTCAGTTCATTAAACAGTTCCTGAAGCTCCAGATCCATCATTTGTTCCCACGAGTCTTCCCCGTATCTGTTAGGGAACATGTTTTCATGGGATGTCTGGCCATCTAAGTGTTTGCTGCAGGACATAGTTTCTCCCGGTTCTTTTTTTACCTCTTTCAAAGTCATATTAAACATGCCATTCCCACTCGCATGTGCATTGTTTGCTAGGTTGCTGGCCTTTCTTTGTGATCCTTGCCCCACAGACATAGTTCCTGACATAGACGGGCTTTGGCAGTTGTTAACATGTTGTCCACCTTGTCCCACTGAGATATTGTCACCCACTCTCATCCTCTTAATGTCAAGAAAAGAGCTCTCTGAAACTCCGTTGGGCCTCTTGTTCACAGGTGACAGGTTTACCACCAACTTTCTCTTCAAGGAGCCTTGGAGCTGAAAGAAGCAGACACAGAAAAAATTAATCATTAGATGGCACCGAAGAAACAATCTGCAGTCTATTTGCGGGAAGGACCCTGAGAAGCAACAGGCAAGCAAGCATTGCTTAGTACACAGAACTTCTCTGGGATTTCTCAGTCAATGAAACTATGCAGAGCTGTAGGAAAAGATGTGGCGAGACACCTCCCTGCCACCATCACCCCTGACCTTGAAGCCACCAGCATTTTTCAAGCAGTGCTGCCTCCTGTTGATCACAGACCCCCTTTTCCCCATGGGTGTGAATGGCAGGAGATGGCCAGAGCTGCAGTGGGCCAGGGGCTGTAAGCCTAGGACATATCTGCCCCAGAGCTGCTCCCATTTAACTGTGCCACACAGATCTGAGGTATTTTTAGAGCACAGAGACTAATGCAGTCATGAAATCCATCCTTGGGCCTATCCAGTGCTGCAGGATTTCACTCTCATGATTTCGGTGTGTGATGCAAAAGACCATTTTTAACTGCTACAGAGTCCAAAGGTCCTAGGAGACATTTTAATAGCACACACAAGATCCAGGCACCCTGATCTCACATAGGTTTATACTGGCCAGAGATGTGTATAATTAATGATGTTAGATGTTAACTTGTTCAAAACTGAGAATGAAGCCACAGGAGCCATGTCAGGTTATGTCAGCCAAGGGTCTAGCCCATGATGTACTGCCGGATTATTTTCCAGACATGTATATTAATACCTTAAGCCCTAATTGTTTATGTCCTGAAACATCTGCTATAAAACACAGTCTTTGCAACACTGCTCTGAGAACAGTAACTCTATTTCCTTTTCTTTGAATATTTACAGCAATACTTTCATCTATTTCAAGCCCTGTGGGCCTGCTGAAAGAAAAGAGGTTTACGGCCCTGTCCACCTGATCTCCACTCATCTGCCATGGCTGTACACACAAACTCCCACCCCACACACACAAAACAAAGATGTAATCCCACAAGCTGAGAAGTTTGGACTTGGTGCATATGCCTTCAAGGAAGTTGCAGATGCCCTCAAGTAGGATTGCTTTGAACATGGTTCCAAAAAGAATCACTTTTAAACAGGCACAGCTGTCATATCTTCAGCTCTGTATATTAAAGGTGTGCACACAAAGCAGCAAACACGCACGCACGCAGCCCTCGCTCACTGTTTCAACTGTGAGCAACATCAGGAAACTCTGCCTGGAAACATGGCTCTGGGGAGACCTTATTGCAGCCTACCTGTACCTGAAGGGGCCTACAGGAATGCTCAGGGGGACTTTTGACAAGGGCCTGTAGTCACAAGACAAGGGGACACAGGTTTAAATTAAAAGCAGGGAGATTTAGATTGGACATCAGGAAGAAATTCTTCCCAGAGAGGGTGGTGGGGCACTGGAACAGGTTGCCCAGAGAAGCTGTGGATGCCCCATCCCTGGAAGTGTTCAAGGCCAGGCTGGATGAGGCTTTGAGCAACCTGGTCTAGTGGAAGGTGTCCCTGCCCATGGCAGGGGGGTTGGAACTAGATGATCTTTAAGGTCCCTTCCGCCCCAAACCATTCTGTGATTCTATGGTTCTATGAGTTTATCATTCTGCCTTTCTGCACCTGGGCAGAAGTGCACCAGGCCTGTAGGCAACAGGACAATATCATCTGACAAACACCTGAGTGTGTCAACGAGAAAACGGCGCCCGTACAAACTGTGATGCCTTGGGAGGCTGTGATGGGCAGAGGGAATACTGAGAACTCTAATTTTCCTTGAGAGAGGATGATTTATGAGATCTTCCAGTTAAATTGTTTGTATCATGCTGTTTCATGTACACTCATCCATGGGCACGTAATACTCTGTTGAGGCCCCCATTCCCCTCAACTTCAGGCTTATCTATAGGTAAGAGCTCTTCCAGGTAACTCCAGGTGTGAACACTTTTATTCTGGTGTTAATAGCAGCAAGTTGCTTGGGAAGAGCTCAACTGACAAACATCTATTTCCTCAGCACCCACCCATCCTTCCACTGCATCAGCAGGTCACTGAGTTTAGCCCTTAAAAATAAGGCTTGTTATTTCTCTTCCTGACACTGAAAATCTCATCTCAACACTCCAGTTAAGTTTCCAGCATAGCTTTTGAATCACAGATTCATGTTTTCATTTCCTAAGGACAAACATGCTGGTGCCTACTTATACAAGTCCACAGACGTTGTGCCTTCAAGAGTAACTACTTGTCATTAGATGTCCCCCGGGAAGGAGAGTTTTGGGTGGTCACTGGCAAAGAGCACGGACTTCGGTTAGTGTGTTCCTTCTGACACATGAGTCACTGTACTTTCCTTTGCAAAAAAAATGGTAAGCTGTACTTCCTTTTACCATCATCTCTGCTGTCAGTGTGTTTATTAGAAATCATTCTCATGCCCCCAAATTCATCTTCCTGGGAAATGGGGAAGTCCCCAGGTCATCAGAATACATGACTTGGCAGCACGTTTGGCTTTCAGATGTGTTGCTGACAGAAAGGTTGAACAGATAATGAATAATGCACCCTCTGCATACATACATGCTTCATGTGGTTAATATGCCTTTCTGAGTTAATTTTGCTTTTGCTTGACATTTCAAAGCAGAGGGAACTGCTTAAAATGTCTTCACGTTTTCAGAACACCTGCACCAGGCTTTCTGATACAATTAAAACCACAGATCTTACACTGTGCTGTACGTAGTAGCTGCTTTTCTTCTGCGTTTGAACTGGCTGCTAGCAGATACGGGGCGAGCTGTGAAGTGGTTTGCCTCGTGATGGGCGCAAGTCAGCAGCAGAGCCAGGGAGAGCACCACGATCTCCAGACACATCCCCTAACCAAGCGCTCCCTCCTTCGACACAGCCTGAGGACTCCTGGTTTCATGGCATCTGCTCTGCTAAAATGTCCACCAAATAGGGCACGAGGCACTTCTAAAGAAGTAACAGGTCCTGGCTTATGGCATCTCCCCAAAACCTTGCAAACACGGCCCCATGACAACACCTCGGTCGATAGCTGTCCCCACCTCAAAGCAGAAATGAGGGCGAGTGAGGCAGCAAAGGTGCAGGGGACCCTCAGGAGACTTCACTGAGGCTGCTGGAAAGGTCCTAATTTCACATCCCCCACGGGTTTGGGATGTGGAGGGTGAGGGGCATGGGAAGGATGTGAGCATCCTACAGGGATGAAGTCCCCCTCCCTCCCTGCACCGAGCTGTTACCACTTATGTGTCAGGGCAGTTCACAGGGGACCCGTCTGTGTTTGTTCAGCGAGACAAGCCGTGTCATCACAAGCCACTCTGCCTTGTTGCTCCCTCTGAGCACTGCCTTCTGTGGGGCACTGCTGCCCGCACGTTTTCCCTGGTTTGTTTTTGGAGGGGAGCAGACCAGGCTTTGATCACTCAAATCTTTGCAGTTTTCTAGCAATCACATTTTTCAGCTGCTGTTTGAAAGTCAGTACTCGAGCCCTTCTTCCCCATGCAAAGCTGACTCTTCAGAGGGTAAAAGAAAGACCTTGCCAGATTTCAAGCTCCATCTCTTCCAATTTGCAAGCCAGGATTGCTTTGGGTCAGTAAACGTAAAACAAAAGTTCCTATAGCACACAGGCACATTCCTCAGATCAAACGGGCACGCGATTACACATCTCAAACCGCTTGAACCGCGTAATAGTGAAAGGCTCTGTGATGGGAAATGAGTGATATGACAGTAAGCGGGAGAGGAGGAAGCCCTCCATGCACAGCTCCATCCCACAGGCAGGTGGGCAGCGCCGTACGCACCATCCGAGACAGCATGCATTTCCTGGCAGCCCGCGTTATTGGAAGACCTTTTGCTGAGCAGGCTCTGGTGAGTCAGCACGCATTCACACACTTAAAGGGAGAGTGCTGGATACACTGATTTTCTGAAGTTAAAACTGCATGGGCTAAGCCCCTGGAGATCACATCTGCGAGGTAGTGATGGACAAACTGCTCGGGGACTCTAACAGTGGAGAGCAAACTCTAGGGATGACTTGGTCTAAGCAACCCAGTGTGATACCACGGCCTGTGCAGAGGGACAATTAATTTCTATTTAAAACTTATTTTGAGTCTTAAAAGGGATTTAAGAGAGGCAGCCTTTTCTCTAACGTTCCCTGACGCCAGGCCAAATCAGCAGGAGTTCCACCGAGCTAATAATTTGGGCTCATCAAAATCTGGTATGAAATAATTTCTCTAATGAGGGGGGGCGGAGGTGTGGGGTGGATGTGTGAAAAAAAAAAAATGTTTTACCTTTCTTTTTTTTGAAATTTTTAGCTAAATGTAAAACTAGAGGATTTTGCTGATTTTTTTTTTTTCTCCCTCAAAAACTTTTTCAGAAACTGGAAACAGGATCTCCTTTGGTGTAAAAGCACAATTTGCCAATGAGACATTTTAGAGATTGTTTTCTCCAAAATATCCATATTTAACAATGTTTTATCACATCTTTGATCCATTTCTGACATTAACCCTGAGCATTCACCTTCTATTCCTTTCCACAGGGACTGTCCATTATGTCCAAGAAAAGAATTTGTCTGTGGCAGCAGGAAATTATAAAGACTATCTGGTTTCACTTTTATTCAAAGTCTCATTTTTTGTGTGCTTCACGCAGCTTCTTCAGTTGGACTTCCTCTAGAATTTGCTTTTTACTTTGTTTAACACTGTGCAGGAGTACAGCACTTGAGAGAAGTCCTAGGTTAACCATCCAACAGCCTCAACTTTCACAGCTCTCAGGACAAGTAAAAAGCCTGTCCCTCTGGCTCACCCGAGTATCTCCATAGTGCCTACAGATATCCAAAAGAATTCACTTCCCAGTGCGACCCATCCTTGGCCTTGTACAAAGATGTTAGTACCAAGTCTGAATGTCATCTCAAAATGTTTATAGCTAGACACTGCAAACTGGGCCAAATCATCAAAGTGCTCCAAGAGAAAATAACAGATTGCTATAGTTTTAATTCTCCATTAGTCTTTATGAGCTGAAGATGTAAAAGCAGGAGATCTCCTACCGCCTTTGTTCTCCCATCGCTCATATTTTCCTAAGGTCTGCAGCTTTCTTAGCTTGTGTGGTGGAACAAGGATGAAACCTGTAACGTGCTGCTGATTTAAACCCCAAGCAATGAGCACACTTGGTGAAGCAGGCAGCGCAGCAGCCTTTGCGATTCACGTGGAGAAATACTTCTGATTTGGAAAGCGCAGCTTTGGATTTTATGTTTTTAATATAGAAGCAGCAGACAAATCCATTTTAAAAGGTCCCTTTTGGACTTCCTAGACGTTCTCACAATA